AGAATGAAATGTCCTTACAGTAATGAAAGCACTTCATTAAACAATACTTCAATCTTTCAGTCAGAACAGTTATTCAGTCATATGTGGTACATCCATTAGCATAGCAGTAAACAGTAGGTCTTAAAGACCGAACAGTAATGATTGCCATCAGTCAGTAAACAGTAGTGGTTCCACGAGGGAACCGACAGAGATCTCTGTAACAGTATAATAGTAACAGTAAACAGTGGGTGCTAAGGATGCCACAATACAGTTTAGAATATTGGACATACATTCATTCAGTTAACAGTAGACAATTCAGAAAACAGTACAGTTCAATTGTTCGGAAGATAGTCATTTGTGAACATATCTTTACACAGTTGTTACTCACAGAGTTTGGGCTACAGTATGCTAGAGCGTGTCTCCCTAGTCGCCAACCCTACACAGTTCACAGGTTGAACACACACTAAGCTACACAGTTGGGAAATATCATAACATAATCCCTAATTTGCCCCGGTGTGTTCTACATCTATATCCTCAACAAGATGTCTTAAACTAGGCCTAAGCATGCCTAGGATGGGATGAGGATGCAAAGATGTACTCAAGAAGCAGTTTCAGAATGTTCAGAAAAACAGAGTCCCGCTCGAGCGCATGTGCACCCGCTCGAGCGGACACGCAACAATGGTACACGCTCGAGCGTAAACTTTCCCGCTCGATCGTACTGTAAAAGTACTGGATGGGTGAAATCTCCGCTCGACGCCCGCTCGAGCTTGAGACATGACTCCGCTCGAGCGCCCAATCCTCCGCTCGAGCGGACTGTAAAACAGTGCAGAGAGATGCTGGATGCTCGGATTCCACGCTCGAGCGTCACTTTCCCCGCTCGAGCGGAAGTGCAAAATCTGGAAAACCCAGATTGCTCCTCCAAGCCAAAACCAAGTTTAAATGCATCAAAACCAATCCTCTTGGGCCCATTTTCTGGAAAACATTTATAAACACATAGAATAACATGGTTCAAAGCTCAAAGCTCAAACTCACATTCAAATGCATCAAAACCAATCCTCTTGGGCCCATTTTCTGGAAAACATTTATAAACACATAGAATATCATAGTTCAAAGCTCAATTTTGAGAAATCAAGGCCCAAGGGTGTTTAATTCAACCTCAATTTCAAACCAATTTCATGAACAATATGAACACGCAAACATGCATGAATTCAAATCATTTGGAAGTTCCAATTTGATGCTCTAAGGAGCCAATTGATCCAAAAACAAGTTGAAAACATGGACCATTACAAAATTATGAACATGCATGTCCCATTTCACCATGGATTCAACTCAAAACTCATCAATTCAAACATGCATGCATGAATTATGCTCTATGTCAACATGTATGAACTAAAACAAGACTCAACTCTATAATTTAACATGGACCATGCAAGAATTAGTTCAAAGACAAAATTAAAAAGATGAAATTCATACCTAGGTTCCTTGAATGCAAGTCTAGAGGTTCAATTATGCACTCAACCTTCAAGTTCTTCAATTAGCAAGCAAAACCCAAGATGGAAGACAAGTTCTCTCACTCTCTCCCTCTCTTGGTCGGCTAGAGCAAGAAAAAGGCTAAGGAAAATGTTTGTTTCAATGAGTACAAGGCTCTAGTATGATATACTAAGGGGCCCACTAGCAATGGCAAGATGGTAGATAAATCAAACTATGCAATTGATCAATATTTAATCTAATTTAATCATACCTAACAGTTTTCAGATAATTACACCATAAAATCACATAAATTATGATGATCATAAAACATCAACCAATTCCCGATTCGGCCGCCGATAAGGCCTTCAATTTCAGTCATAATCAATTCAGTTTAACGGTAATCGATGGTTATCGGTAATCAATCAGTCATTAATCGATAAACAGTATGAGGGTTGTTACAATTTTCAACCTCATTCTTATATTTAATGAAAGTTTCCAAAGTTTCATCCTTGGTTCGAATTAAATAAACATAACTATATCTAGTATAGTCATCTATAAAAGTGATAAAATACTTTTTCCCACCTCTAGTCTGAATTGATTTAAAATCACAAATGTCACTATGAATTAATTCAAGTGATTCCGTACTTTTTTCAATTGAATGAAAAGGAGTTTTAGATAATTTTGCCTCAACGCAAATTTCACATTTATGATTTGAATCAATGTTAAATTTAGGTAAACATTCCATATTAATTAATCTACGCAAATATCCATAATTAACATGTCCTAGTCTACCATGCCATAAATTTGAAGACTCAAGCAAGTAAGAAGAAGATGTAGTATTATTAATAACTGAGGGTACAACGGTCATTACATTTATCTTGAAAAGGCCATCAGGCGTGTAACCTTTTCCTACATACATCCCAATCTTAGTAAGTACAAATTTATCACTCTCAAATACTAGCCTAAACCCATTCTTACTCAACAAAGATCCGGAAACAAGATTCTTGCGAATGTCCAGTACATGCAGCACATTGTTGAGAGTGAGTTCCTTTCCAGATGTTATCTTAGTACAATCTTTCCTTGTCCTTCAACTTTGGAAGTTGAGGAGTTGCCCATAAAAAGTTGATCACAATTGTCCACTGAAGAATAAGATGTGAACATCTTTTTGTCGGCACAAATATGGCGAGTAGCACCAGTGTCCACCCATCATTCTTTAGGATTTCCGACAAGATTTGCCTCGAAAACAACTGCAGAAAGATTGATGTCATCGACACCATTGGAAATATTGTCCACTTCGGTCATATGGGCTTGAGCAGGCTTTTTACTTGTTCTTCTTTTGCTTTTGCCTTTGCTACGGCAATCTTTGGCCCGATGTCCCTCTTTGTCACAGATGTAACATTTGCCATTAAACTTGTACTTTTTATTATCTCCCCCTTTAGAGCCTTGTGATGAACTTTCTCCAAAAGACTTTCGTTTCTTGGTTTTTGAAGCATGTTCCACCACATTTGCCTTAGACTCCATAAGATGCTTATCAGCCCGCTTTTTAGAATTGCGGTTGTCCTCCTCAATTCTCAAATGCACAATTAATTCGTCCATCGAAATTTCTTTGCGCTTGTGTTTGAGGTAGTTCTTGAATTACTTCCAGCCTTTTGGTAATTTTTCAATTAAGGCTGCAACTTGGAAGGATTCACTGAGAGACATGTCTTCTGCGTGAATGTCATGCAGAATGAATTGGAAATCTTGAGCTTGGCTGATCACAGTTTTTGAATCAACCATTACAAAATCCAAGAATCTGCCAACCACAAATTTCTTTGAGCCGGCATCTTCCGTTTTGTACTTTTTCTCCAACGATTCTCAAAGTTCCTTTGCTGTCTTGATTGGACTGTAGACGTTGTATAATGTGTTGTCAAGTCCGTTCAAGACGTAATTCCGGCAAAGGAAATCAGCATGTTTCCAAGCATCAACCGCAGCAACCACTTGTCGGTCGGTTTCATCCTCTTTCAAGATAGGAGCATCTTCATGGAGAAAACGAGCCAGGTTTAGAGTTGTAAGATAGAACAACATTTTCTATTGCCATCTTTTAAAGTCAGTTCCTGAGAACTTCTCTGGCTTCTCTCCATGATTTATTGGTATTGTCATCACAAGAGAGGGGGTTGGCGCAATTGCAGCCACCACAATAGTACTTGTTTGGGCATTTGTTTTAGTAGCCATCAATTCTAATTTATAAAACAAAATTATAATTAGAATTTATACTACACAGAAAATTAAACCAAATGCACAGAATTAAATTTTGTAAAAATAAAAGAAACAAGAATGTGACTTTTATTTTCCAATTAATTTGGAAATAAAATAAAATTTTATTCAACCAAATTAATTCCACATAGGAAATTAAATTCTGTAAAATAAAAGAAATAAGAATATAACTTTTATTTTTTTTCCAATTAATTTGGAAATAAAATAAAATTTTATTCAACCAAATTAATTTCACACAGGAAATTAAATTCCGTAAGATAAAAGAAATAAGAATATAACTTTTATTTTTTTCAATTAATTTGGAAATAAAATAAAATTTTATTCAACCAAATTAATTCCACACAGAAAATTAATTTTTGTAGCACTTCAATAGTTAAAATACTAAAGCAGAATTTTAAGTAATGAAAACTCAGAAAATAATTTTTAAAACCCAAAATTAATTTCTGAAAAAATTCCTCAAAAATATATTCTGAATTGTTAATGACACCAGTATCGTACTACTAGTTGTTGTCAAAGAAAAGAGACAGTATATTACTACTATCTGTCAAATAGCATATAATCACTATTTATTTTTCCAACCAGAATATTATTTTGTAAATCCACAGAAAATAATTTTCTTCCGAAATTATTTACGAAGAAAGGAAAAGGGAAACAAACGAAAAATTCTGTAAACAGAATAATTCGAATCTGTCTTAAGATTGTTGGAATAATCTTCTGTGTAAATAAAATAACTTAAAATAATTCAAACAAAATAAAATAAAACTTACAGAATTTATTTTGTTGAACCGAATCAATAATTTAAAGACCAAGTCGAGTGTGTGACACTCTGTCCTTAAGACAGATTCGCCCCGCTACAGTGCTTACGGTTATGTGGCGTCTATCTCCCAGGATACAATGATCTTCACAAATTTGTAGTAGCACTTCAAACAAATTTGTTCGACGAACCAGAACATTGTGTTCTATAACTCTCTGAAATTTTTCCTAAAATAATATGAAGAATAAAGGACGCAAGAGAGCAAAATGAAGGCAAGGAAAATGAATTTTCAGAATCAATCAAAATTGGAATGGGGCTGCCTTTATATAGGCTTTGTTGGCACCTACTCAATTTGAATAGAAAAGGTATGAAGAAAGGACATAACCATTCCTTTAAAATAAAGAGACACCATGAAAGGTTTGCACCCTTTCATTCAAATGGAGGTTTGACCCTTCCTTTAAAACAAAAAGACACCATGAAAGGTTACACCCTTTTATTCAAAATGAAGTCTATTTTAATTCACAACTACCTCTTTATAAATTTTTCAACAACCTTTCCTAAAATAGGCACTATTTGGATGCTCAACATCATTGTTGTGAATCTTGTTCACCTCCAAATCTTTCAAGTTGTCAAGACTACACAGCTTCAATATTTCCTCAACCACCCCTTGTCTAGCTTCTTCCACAAAGAAAGGAAACCCCATGAACTTAGCCAACACTTTGAAATGAGAAATGGGGTCTTCTTTCATATCTTCGTATTTCAAAAACAACACCTTGTCAGGTCTTTCTTGATTCGCTTTCCAGTAGCCCAATACATGATCCCAAAACGGTCCATACGGACTTACGCCTCGACACATCAAATTGAGATTTTCTTCTATCAAACTTGGATTGAGAGGATTCTTTAAAAGCTTAGCAACATACTGGCAAAAGGAGATGAACTGGTCTAAAGGGTTTCGACAAACGTAGATGACACGACAAGTAGAGTCTCCAATGGAGCTAGGAAGTGCAGAGTATGGAACATGGGTTGCTAAAATTCTAGGACTAGGAAAGTCATCAAGCTTGAAGAATGGGTTTTTTCCATAGACAGCATTGTCAAGGAAAGGAACGAGACCGTGAGGGTTGGTGGTGAGCAATGGATTTTCGCTGGGAGAGTAGTTGATACGGTTGGCTATAGCAAATGTAAGAGCTTTTAACCATGTTGTGCCTGCTTTTGGAAGACTGACTAGTATCAAATCAGAATTTTGTGCTTTGAAATGTTGTTGAAAGGAGAAAATGCCATGGATATATGGATACCAAATACTCTTTATACAAAAACATGTCTCTCCCATTTGGAAGTTTCACTTTGGGAAGAGTTTTGAGCAGTTCTTCCCACTCATCATCATCCCCCATCCTCTCTTGTGTAGCTTCACTAATTTGGCTTGGCTTGTCCATAGGTGAGTGTGAGATAGACAAGGCGAACCATGTTTTCATTTTATAAAGTTTTTTTTATTTTATTTATTATTTTTTTAAACCCTGAGAAAAATGAGGCCCATAAACTAAGCAGGCGAACCATGTTTTCATTTTATGAAGTTTTTTATTATTTTTTTAAACCCCAAGAAAAACGAGGCGCATAAACTAAGCATTATCACGCGGGTAGGATCTCTTTGTTTTGTTTTGTTTTGTTTTTTTTTTTTGGATATGTTTTCTTCTTCTTCTTTTTAATTATAAACCTTAAATAATTGAAGGGAAAGACTATTGTACTGTTTGTAATCTAAAATGACAAGCTAATGATTATTTTTTGATCCCTTTTTTTCTTCTTTTTTAATTGTAAACTTTAAATAATTGAAGGGAAAGACTATTGTACTGTTTGTAATCGTGACAAGCTAATGATTAGGTGCCATGTGTGCGTGTGGTGATGAAGGTTGGATGACTTTAGCAAGTTTGAATGGTGGCTGACTTGGAAAGAGTAGACAATGATCAGAACATTCTACTTATCGCTTTTTTCTCTCTTCATGGATAACGTTTACTAATTTTTTAGTAGACAATGATCAGAACATTCTACTTATCGCTTTTTTCTCTCTTAATGGATAACGTTTACTAATTTTTTAAAAAAAGTATTTGATGATATTTATGTTATAAAAGAATAATTTTAATTTTAATTTTAAATTAATATTAAATATAATTTTAAATATTTATCTTAAAAATATTAATGTTATTATTTTATAAAATTTTTATTTGAATATATATATATATATTAATTTTAGTTAAATTATTTACATATTTTTATAATTTTAGTTCTATCGTATTATAAAAATATAATTATCATATAATAATTTTGTATGATATATATTAAATTATAAAATAATAAAATAAATAATCTTTTTCATATTAAAAATAATAATTAAATTAAAAGAACAATTAGTAATATAAAATTAAAAGTAATTCTAATTATTTAATTTTTTTATTCATTTGAAAAATAAAAATATGTACAAATAGGAATTATATAAAATTTATTAAAAAACTACCACTTGATAAAAAAAATTAAAAAAAAAAACATAAATTACAAGCGTGTTTGGTTTGAATAAAAGTTCGAAAAATTTTAAAAACAAAAACTAAAAAATATATTTGTTCAGGCCAAAAATATTTATATATTTTTTTTTATTATTTGTGACAACAGATCATACACATTATAGTTTAAAAAAATAATTAAAAAATTAATTGGGGAAAAAATTAATTGAAAAAAAAATATTTGAAAAGTAAAATTAATTGAAAAAAATTTTTTTAGTTAAATTTTTAAATTTCTGTTTAAAATCGTCGTAAACTCATTTTTTGAGTTTACGTTTTTTTTCCTCAAATTTATAAACTAAGACAACCATTTATAAACCAAAAAAATTATCAAACAAGTTTTTATGACAGTTTTTAAAATTTTTGTAAATATAAACTAAAAACGAAACGGTTACTGTACGAGGACAAAATAATCTTCTCGTATAATCTTGTTGATCAAGTTTGCACTCTTCCAAACGTTGTCGCTTTGCTTCCTGAAAACATAAACGTGAGCTAGCCGGCGGGTGTGTGCCGGATATCTCTTCGATGCCTAAGTCAGCAAATAGACAATAGACAAAAAGCACTATATTTTTTAGAATAGAAATTGTGATACCTGTACATAGGTCATGCTACGACCTTTTATAGATTCTGCCTAGCATAATCCTAGTAGGATTTCAACTCTCCTTATAAGAGTCCTCCTAGGAATTACACTCCTAGTGAAAAATGCCTATTATGATAACACTCTACTTACTATAAACCAAGTGAGATAGTTTTCTCCTTGTCCAAGTTGGTACGGTTTAACCGAGCTAGCATATTTCTGTCATGCTCTCAACTAAGCAATGCTGTATATGGCATTCGACCGAGCTACACCTAGCTCGGCCTTCCTTCTTACTAACACCTCGGTCAGCCACCAGGCCTAGGTTTAGGTAGCCCGGTCAAACCCCTTCCGAAGTCTCTGCCCAGTTTGGTACTGTAGACACCCCATTTTTGACCGTCCTTAAGACTTGGTTGTGCTTGCAGGTACATCCAACCACAAGTTCGATTGCTCGTCGAGTACTCGACTTTCGCGGCGGAACGTCACAGGTTTGATCTTTCCAAACCCCGTATCCTTTCTGCCCCATTCTTGGACCATATGTTGGTCCTTTCAGCTTGCTTCTCATGGTGCACTGCCGGCCACTCCTACCACTGTCGGCCATGCATTTATCCCTGCCTGCCATTGATGAAGCCTGCCGGCCACCACTGATGGCCGGCAAAACACCTTGTCTCAACAGATTTCACGCTAGATCTTTTGAGCCAGCTAGTTTTCACTCTTCCCTCCTCCATACACGTGTATGGAGGGATGAAGCCCTTTTCAAGCTTGTTTAACAAGCTTTGCATTGCTTTCCTCTATATAAGGAGAGGCTCCTCCTCCCTTACAGAGGTTGAGAAATTTGAGGTTTGAGTTATACATATAGTTTTGTATCTATATCTCTCTTTTGTTCTTGTTTTGTGCCTTCAAAGTGTCATTTTGTCTCACTTTAACACACAAACACACAGTCAAACACCATCCTTTTATTACTGAGGTTTCTTGAGGTTGTTTTTGGTGTTCTTGGACTAGTTTGAGCTCAGAAGAGTTGCTAGAGTTTTGGTTTTGAATGTGGTCTTCAAGGGTGAGAAACTAACCTCTTAAACTCCCATTCTTGCTTAAGCTTTTGAACCCATTTTCATGCTGTTTTGAGCTTAACTTCCTACTGCAAAAAGTTCTTTTTTGTGTGCTTAAGATCTTTGTTTAAGGTGACTTTTGTATTTGGGGTTGTTTACCCCCTCTTAGGCCTTGTTTAGCCTTGCTTTTGTGCCTTCTTTGTGAGCTTTTGGGACCACCTTGTTTTGACCTTCTCACCACTGAAACTCAGAGGAATTTCAGTGGTGGAAGTGGTGTTTTGAGGTCCCAAATGGGAGAGGGTCATCCACTGTCCTTGTGTCTTCAATACTTGTCTTGAATGCCTCATGTGTGAGCATGTTTGTTAAGTTTATGTTGGCCATATCTTAGCATGTATTTGTGGTTATTTTTCTATGGTATGCCACTATTTTTTACTTGGTTTTGTCACTCCATGCATTCCTAATACACTTGTAGTGAAAACCTCATAAACTAGCTTTGTATGCTTCATGAAGTAGCATGTCATTCTATATGTCATTCTAGCATGCTTTTGGCTTAACTTCAAGAAGCTTTTGTCCATGTTTTAGCATGTTCCAGCTCTGATTTTGGTTGTTTTGGCCATGCATGACTTGCTTTGTATAGCCATAGTTCAATCTAGCTTGTTAGCTTTGTGCACCAAGTCCACTAGCATGCTTTACTTGGACTATTTGAATGACTTGGTATCATTTATTATGTGATTTCAGTCCATGCTTCATGCTCATACACTTGCATTTATCACTCATTCAATGCGTTGGAGGATTTGCCCCTTTATGCCTTAACATGAATCATTGCGTATGCCTTCATGCCTAAACTTGCGAGCTATCATTTCAATGTGTTTTTGGAGTTATTATGCCATGATATAACTCTAATTTTTGTTGCTTAAGTCATCTCATGCTTGGTCTTATTAGGTGTAGTGTAATTCTCCCTTTTGGCCTTGCCTATTCCACGTCTTATGCCCTTCATGCTAGCTTGTTTTAGCTTCCTTCCTTGCATGTTTTAGACTCATTTTGACATATTCTAGGACTATTTTGGGTTGCCTTGATCACATGTTTCATGTTTTGCATAGTTGTAGTACAAGTGCTCTTGTTAGCTTCAAGCTTTGAGCATCATAGCATGCTTTATTTGTGTTGTGTACATGATTTGGCATCACTTAACATGACATTTCAGAGCATTTAGCATTGCCATGTTCCCACTTCATTCACTCTTTAAGTGCCTTTGAGTGTTGTGCATTGATGCCTTATTGTGGCCTAGCGTGTATGCTTCCATGCCTAGGTCTTTGAGCCTCCATCTTAGCATGTTTTGGTCATTGTTTTGACCTATTTCAGCTCTGTTCATGGTTGATTCATGCATGTTTGCCATGTATTGCATGCCTCCTTTGTAGTCATCTTTATTAGCTTTCATGCTTTAGGACCTTTGCATGCTATACTTATGTTTGGTTGAATGGTTTGGCTCCATTTGGTACCTTATTTCAGTGCACTTATATAAAATAATGTATAATTTCATATATAGAATCACTACAAAATTTAAACGATAAATCCATAATATAGTTTAATATAGAATTGGTATTGGGTATAGAATAATTCATAGGAAAATAAGAAGAAGGAAAAAAAAAAAAAAAAACACAATTTAGCTTTTAAAAAATTCTAATACCCTTGAAAGAATTAAGATGAAAAACATGAAACTCAAAATTGGTATTAAGTTTGGGAATTATCTCAATTTAGGATAAAAAATAGGGAAAATTGGTCTAAGGTCCCTCCTCAACTTTTGATAGGAGTAGAGGTCCACAATAATATGTTTAATGGCTAAGGTTCCTCAACCTTAGTTTATGTTATAAAATACCTAATTTAACCTTCTTTATAACATAAGTTTGTTTGGATTTTGGCAAACTGAATATTCTATTGCTGACTTCACGGTGGAGATTTTGGAAACTGACTTCGCAAGTGTTGATTTCGTTGGAGATTTCGTCGAACATTTCATAGGGATTTCGCAAGTGTTGCAGTGGACTTGACGATAAAGATTGCTACGATCGTGTATGTGTTACAGTGTGTTGATCGCGTAGGTATTTCAGTGGAGTTGATTCAGGTATGTTTTCGATGGAGATTTCACATAGATTTTGATTTTTGTTTTGAATTTTACGTAAGGATTCCGATTTCATATTAGTTTTTCTAATGTATTTTTGCATTAGGTTTTTGTTTTCAGTTTTGATCAATTTAAAAGAGAGGCTAGCTCAAGG